TGCTGCTGACTCCTGAAATGAAGTTTACTTTGGGTATTTTTTAGTTCTGTGAAATTTGGATCTCATGGTTGAAATTTTTTCCCAGTCATGTTTTTCTTTTGGGTTCTTTTTTTTTCTCAACAGGAAATAGAAAAAATAGAAAATAAACATCTGACCTTAGCATACTTAACTTCAAATAAATTAATGTGTGGAATGAAAATCAGATAAATATATCAGGGTGTGTATATTCTGAAAGGAAATTGCAAAGTGGAACACATGATACATACAGTCTTGCTTGAACAATGAAATGCCTTAGAAGGTACTCAAATAATGAAAAAGTAACAGAATTCTTAACTTTTGAACAGACTGTACAAAATTTAAAGTAAATGACTGAATAAAATATAAAACTAAACTTTAGTCTTATACATCTTATCTCTATGGATCTTTAGTTGAGATTGAAGCTTAAGAACAGTAGATGGGAGAGCATGTATCTGTGCCTTAAACACTTACTGAATGTTGTTAGTTCCAAATAGCTTCCCATGATACTGTGCTTTTTAGAGATACCATGAGTATTTTGTATGGCAGGAGACGAGTTTTCCCAGCGAAGAAGAATCTCAGCCATGTTTCCTGAGTATTGACTTTATTTCACTTCTGTCACTGAGAAGTAGTTCTTATAGGATCATAGCTGAATGGACTGTGGCCCAAGGATAGAAAGGGAAATTATTCTGAATGGAAGGTCTAATTGATAGCAGTATATTTATTTGCTGAAGGTTGAATGACTCATGGATTGTTTGGGAAAATAAATAGATTTACAGGAAGCATCTGACTTTTAACACTTAACACAACTTCTGAAAATATTTCTTTTTTAAAAAAAGTAATTTATTTTTTCTTTAATTTCTTCCATCCTCCCATTACTCAACTGTAAAATAGTACAATAATTCTACTTGAAGAATTAGAAGGTTAAATGAGATAGTATATGGGAAGCACTCTAAAATGTAAAGTATCTCTAATACATGCTAGGTTTTTTTAGACCCATTTTCTTTTGCTCCTGCTTTCTGTTTTTCACTTAGGCAACTGTTCCCTCACAGTGATGATTTCCTGTTAACATGTTGCTGATATTCATTCTTCAGAGATAAGTTGCCTGGGAATGGAGGAGAATAATAATGTCCTTAACTACCTACTTTATGAATTCTGCTTAAGGAAAGGCCACCAGATAAAAAGTAAGAAGCCCTTAAATGCTCAAATGGGAATATAAATCATAGAGAATATAAATTGAGAATATACATCATACAATACTTGAAAAATATTTTCTTCAGCTCATAGAATTGTATCTCTATACCTGGATTTCTTTTTTAAAGAGAAAGAATAAACTTTCTTATACCCCAGAACTATTTGACAATATTATACATTTTCCCTATAATAAATTTTAAAAATTTAACTCAGTGAAATTTTAAAAAATAATAATAAGGAAATAGCGAGAGAGCCCCCATATACAATATAAATGTTGAGTAAGACTGAGAAAGAAAATCCAGTGGCTGTTCACACTGGTCTTAAAAAAACAGGCCTGGGGCTTCCCTGGTGGCGCAGTGGTTGAGAGTCCGCCTGCCGATGCAGGGGACGCGGGTCCGTGCCCCGGTCCGGGAAGATCCCACGTGTCGCGGAGCGGCTGGGCCCGTGAGCCATGGCCGCTGAGCCTGCGCATCCGGAGCCTGTGCTCCGCAGCGGGAGAGGCCACAGCAGTGAGAGGCCCGCGTACCGCAAAAAAAACAAACACACAAAAGAAAACAGGCCTGAAAATTACCACTCCCCTCCTTTTCAGTGAAGCTTTTGTCAAGGTTCTTTACATGGCGAAGGGAATAATCACTACCAGAACTTCTGTAAAACATACCTATAGGCGTCAAAGTCAAGACACACTTAATTTATCCTGACAATTGATGTAGCAACATAGACATCTCTTAAATTATTCATCTTTCTAATAGAGAATTCCCCTCTTGGAGACCTCAGGGTTGAATTACACCGAAGCTCATTTAAACAAGTTTATTTAAAAAGTAAACACACAAAAATAAGTTTCGTCCTTGCATAGGTCTTCAGTAAACAAGAGAAGAGTATATGTTTTAAGAAAATGTCTACATCTATATAAAAATCAAAATTAAAAGTGATAATTTTTTCTTGACCTGCTTAAAGAATCCTTTTTATGAAATTCAGCTTTGTTTCATAAATAATGTAATGCTTGCTCATGATTAGGTGAACTTAATCAGATGCCCAGAGGGAGGGGCTGTTGCTAGCAGATCTTTACTATTATTAGGCGTAAACAATATGACACGTTTTCCAGGTGGAGGGCTGTGAGTGGCAATAGATTCAGTAAATCACTATAGATGTCAGCAATCCCCTTCCTGGACAGGTTGGGACTTTGTTAACACAAAGCCTCTTCGCTGCCTGTGCCCGACCACAAAGCCCTCTCCTAAGCTTGGAGCACAAGGCATGCTAAAGACCTTTTTTTCCCTCGTAGTATTTATATTTGTTTCTCTTTACTTCCCTTCTCACTGCTTGTTTCTGTTTTTGAGAGTTCATTGTGAACTTATGTTCTGTTTCTGGCTTGAAAAAAAAAGAGAAAAATTTTTGTAGTCAGTGAACTTTGAAAGTATTATATCAATTTAAATTTATTTATTTATTTATTTTTGGCTGCGTTGGTTCTTCGTTGCTGCACGCGGGCTTTCTCTAGTTGCAGTGAGCGGGGGCTACTCTTCGTTGCAGTGCGGGTGCGCGGGCTTCTCATTGCGGTGGCTTCTCTTGTTGTGGAGCACGGGCTCTAGGCACACAGGCTTCAGTAGTTGTGGTGCGCGGGCTTCAGTAGTTGTGGCGCATGGGCCTAGCTGCTCTGCGGCATGTGGGATCTTCCCGGACCAAGGGTTGAACTCATGTCCCCTCCATTGGCAGGCGAATTCTTAACGACTGTGCCACCAGGGAAGTCCCCATGCCATTCCTTTAAATGGCAGTGGGATCGTGATAAAGTCCAAAAAGGTGGGCTGATAAGATAAGAGGGCAGCTGCGTAACAGGGAGCCCATCGTAGATGCTCTTATTGAATTTAGGCTGTCCTTTCCCATATTTAGTGCTTTCACCTCAGACATTTATTTTGAGGGTTCCAAAGCCTATAAAGAAATAAGGAAATGACCAAGTTTTAAGAAATTGCCTCTTCCTGGGAAGGCAGAGGTCACCAGGATGCTTTCTCTTGCTGTTCGTCATCAGAGAAAAAATAAGAACTGTTCTCACCATGTTCACAGGACACCCCCTCTTAAATCTTTTGGAAGTCAGAGAGCTTTGCTCAACATCCAAAAAATTTTTTTAATTAGCAGAATTAAAGTCCTGGCTGTGATATGCTCTCTGTAACCATTCCCAAAGTAATTCTTAGACACAGCTTCCCAGGAGGCTGTTCTGGGCATGGAATGAGTGGGCAGGTACGAGAGCCTCTTCTCTTAGCTCTGGTGTCCTGTGACATCAGAGAGCACCAAGGACTTGCGTACCCCAGGAACTGTGAGGGTGGGTGTTAAAGGACTGGTACCAGGTACCCTCAGGTTGTCTTTGCTAATTAAAGGTGACCAGAAAGAAGCAAACACGTTGTGTATGTGTGTTTTTTCCCAACTTCCTCTCATAATGTATCTCTCCCAACAGCCTACAGAATTATGGTGAATAATTAGGGCTTTCAAGCCTGGGAGGACATAACATTCATCTGAATTGATTCTATCCCTTATCAGTCAGGAGAAGCATTGTCTTCCTGAAAATACTGAGGGATGCTAATAGCTGAGCTATAAGGCAGTAAGGAAGGGAGGATTACATGGTCCAATAAACTTAGGAAACTCTGGGTTAGGCAAAGATTAAAAAAAAAAAAAAAAAGCTATGCAGCTTGTCTTCCTTGGCCTTTTAATAGAAACCCCTTCTGTCCCCAAATTAAATTGATCTTCTTAGAAGGTACGGAACAGGCTGGGAGGGGGCAAGCATAGCATTTGATTGTCAAGAGACTTGACAAGTACAGATCCTGTTTTTATTACTTGGGCATTATCTTGCCTTTCCTACATTAAAAGCCAGCTCCACAGGCTTAGTCAAAATCCTCTGGGTGACAGAGATGGAATGAACCTGTTCGACGACTAAATATGTCGGCTCTGAGCACAGCAGAATCAACTCAGCTGTGTGTGCAGCAGCAGGCTGATTTGCCTTCCTCATAGTTTCTAGTTAATGAAGTAAATTGATTCTCTTCCTTTCTTAATCACCATAAATTTGCCTTGCTGATGTGTATGCAGTCCTCCTTTACATTTGCTTTTGAACATTAGGATCGCTGTTTTCACGTCATTGTGCCTTTTTAAATTTTTATATGTTTGTCAGGATTTTCATTCCCAGACACTATCAGAGCAGGTGGTGTCAAATAACAGTAGCGGGGAAATGAGACAAAATGGAATAGGAGAGTCAAGGTGGAGAGCCATTTGAGGGAGAAAGTTTATTTTTATGGGGAGACGTTTGTATCACCTTCTCAATAATGGCGGTTTTACTGATGCTCCAATTCAAATATATTCATGAAGATCCCTCATCCAGGGAACTCCCAACATCTTGTGTAAATAGTGGGCATTATACAGGCAGCTAGTCAGCAGTCCCACTAGGCCAGAAAGTCAGCACCAGTGGCAATGAGGATTTTCAATCAAAGGAAGTTGAAAGTAACTGTAGGCTCCAAGCTAAATTTATTTAACCCCGGTAGATTTGCATACTATTTATTTTTGCACTCTTTGGGGGTAATTTACTTATGCCACCATGTGTCATTACTTGCTTTCCTGCCATGTTTATTTGCCTGCAGGTGCACAAACGGTTGACTGTTAAGATGGGACACAGACATACCATTAAAACAAAGGAAGAATTCAGTGTTTCTTTTTGTTGTGGCATACCTGGGATGAGGAGTGGGGGGTGAAGAACAAGGAAATTGTGACCAACTTTGAAGTTTTTGAACAGTCATGGCTTAATATTTCTAATTGTTCAGGTTGTATCCGCGCCATGCAAGTGCCCTGAACAACCTTGGAACACTGACCAGAGACACAGCAGAGGCAAAGATGTACTATCAGAGGGCTCTCCAGCTAAATCCACAACACAACCGGGCTCTTTTCAATCTTGGGAATCTCCTTAGGTAAGTAGAATGTGTACCTTTGATCAGAAGACCTTGTAGTTTCAAGAAATCCTTTCCTTTTCAACACTCATTTGGTTGTGGTATTGTCTCCACTTCCTAGCGCAGAATAGTTAGGGTTTTCAAGTTCTGGGAGGATGCAATATTCATCTGAATTAATTCTATCCCTTATCAATCAAAAAGAGTATTTCCCAGAGTGTCCCTCTGGAAGTATTAGTTCTGGGAGATGTTCATAGCTTATCTGTAGAGGGCTGGGAAGAGGGAATGGCTACATGGACAAATAAACTTAGGAAATGCTGAATTAAGCAAAGATAGTTCCTTTATTGCAAGAATCTTTAATATGCTAAATGCCCTGTGAATATTCAAGAAGGGAGTATGGAATACAGCATTTCCCAAAGTCAATCAATTTTGGTAGGCATTTCCCAAGAATTTCATGAATATACTTGGGAAAAGTGCTAGAAAAAGCAGCATGCTCTAAAGGTGAGCATAACCACAGCTCATGCGCAGTTTGTGCTATAGGTAAGAAACAAACTGAGGCTTTCTTGGAATTAGCAACGGTGACTCTTGCTCTCGGAAGACCTCCCAGGCATAATCACTGATGTTTGCTTTTCACTCACTGCCCTGGAAAAGACTGATAGTGCAGTTAGTCTCCCTGAAGAAAAAGGGGTACTTTTGCATCTTGTATTTTTATTAATATAAAGTCTAGGCAAGTTGGTGATGGCAATGTTAGTGGTAGTAGTGGCGATAATGATAGTGGAAATGGTGGTGGATATAGAATTTAACTTCTACGCTTTAAAAAACAGATTGACATTAGAGAAATGCAAATCAAAACTACAATGAGGTATCACCTCACACCAGTCAGAATGGCCATCATCAAACAATCTACAAATGATAAATGCTGGAGAGGGTGTGGAGAAAAGGGAACCCTCTTGCGCTGTTGGTGGGAATGTAAATTGATACAGCCACTATGGAGAACAGTATGGAGGTTCCTTAAAACACTAAAAATAGAACTACCATACGACCCAGCAATCCCACTACTGGGCATATACCCTGAGAAAACCATAATTCAAAAAGAGTCATGTACCACAATGTTCATTGCAGCTCTATTTACAATAGCCAGGACATGGAAGCAACCTAAGTGTCCATCGACAGATGAATGGATAAAGAAGATGTGGCACATATATACAATGGAATATTACTCAGCCATAAAAACAAACGAAATTGAGGTTTTTGTAGTGAGGTGGATGGACCTAGAGTCTGTCATACAGAGTGAAGTAAGTCAGAAAGAGAAAAACAAATACTGTATGCTAACACATATATATGGAATCTTAAAGAAAAAAAAAGTTCTGAAGAACCTAGGGGCAGGACAGGAATAAAGACGCAGACCTACTAGAGAATGGACTTGAGGACATGGGGAGGGGGAAGGGTAAGCTGGGACGAAGTGAGAGAGTGACATGGACATATATACACTACCAAATGTAAAATAGATAGCTAGTGGGAAGCAGCCACATAGCACAGGGAGATCAGCTCTGTGCTTTGTGATCACCTAGAGGGGTGGGATAGGGAGGGAGGGAGGGAGGTAGACACAAGAGGGAAGATATATGGGGATATATGTATATGTATAGCTGATTTACTTTGTTATAAAGCAGAAACTAACACACCATTGTAAAGCAATTATACCCCAATAAAGATGTTAAAAAAAAAGATTGAAGACATCAGAAATGGGAATAAAAGGGTGAACATGGTTAAAATCAGAGAGTAGTGATGCATTTATCTGTGCTTGTTAGGTTGCTGACAATCCACGCACTTACTGAATTGGTTTCCTTGTCTCTGAACTTCACAGAGCACATTTGATACCTTTAGGGCTAATGGTTTGCTTTGTTCTTTTATCCTCTCCCTAACAGGATTGGCTTAATTGCCACAATACCTCAGTGGATACATCTTCTTCACGTTATTTTTCACTCCTTGAATTTTATTGTATTTTTTTTAAACATCTTTATTGGAGTTTAATTGCTTTACAATGTTGTGTTAGTTTCTGCCGTACAACAAAGTGAATCAGCTATATGTATACATATATCCCCATATCCCCTCCCTCTTGCATCTCCCTCCCACTCCTTGAATTTTACATATGCATAGAGATATTAGTCCTTTTTCTTAGTGTGCACATGTGTTAATGTATGTTCTTATTTAATCCCATTTGAACAGAAGCATTGGGTAAAGTAACCACAGAACAGTCTAACATCACATAAGGTGACAGGTGCCATCCCAAGTCTGAGGTTTTGTTTAAGAATGGCTTTATCCATATACTGGAACACAAAATCAAGGGAATACTCTACCAAAATAAGGAAATGCAAGGAAAGTACAGTTAAAATGAAAAATATAAAAATATAAATCAGCAAAAACTAAATGAATTTAATAAATTTTTAAAATTAGACAGTTTAGGGAATTCCCTGGTGGTCCAGCGGTTAGGATTCTGCACTTCCACTGCAGGGGGCACGGGTTCAATCCCTGGTCTCGGAGATCTAAGATCCCACATGCCGTGTGGCCTAAAAAAAAAACAAAAACAAAAATTAGATAGCTTGTTAAAGTTTTATACAAATTGAGAGTGATGAAAAACAAGTAAATGAAGAAGTACACACTGTGACAGAAAAGCCTTTTAGCACTAGTACGTTCTCTTTAAAAATAATAGCAAATCAAAAGCTGTGGGGGAAATGTGTTCTAGTTATTGTAGATAACTGTTTACAGGTCAATAGGGTGCTTTTATTTTACTCTACTATTTTTATGAGGTCTTATTTATTTATGTGAAGTTCTAAGGACTCATTTTTAAAAGTCATTGTTGCACCTGTATGTGTCCAGCTTAGAGCCCAAATAACTTAATGGGTGGATAAATCCTGTTCATGTCTTTTGGGATACCAGCATTATATAGTACTGATTTCAAAAATAGTACAGATGAGTATTTTTTTTTTTTACAAAGAAACCAGCTTTGATGGCCTGGATACAAAATGATAGTTCTTGTTAGGAATGATATCCTACAGTTGTGATTATCACACTGTGCTGAATGTGGCTGTACTTGGAAATGGTGGTAGAGATTCTTTTAAATTTCATCTTGCCCAGACCTGAACAAGAGATGCATACTGCAGCCTTCCTTTTTCAATTCACATATTATTGCCTCTGACTATTACCTTGAATTAGTGTATGTGAGTTAAGAATACAAGGAAATATTTTTTGGAACATAACAATGGCTACTTTTCACAGTAGGTGGGGCTCCTAGATACTCAACATAAGATTTTTCTCTCTTTTTCAGTAAAATCAACTCAATGATTATCCAAACCAACAACGCTTCACATTTGTATAAGACTCTGAGTGTTTTTTTAAAAAAAATAATAAAGGCCGGGGCTTCCCTGGTGGCACAGTGGTTGAGAGTCCACCTGCTGATGCAGGGGACACGGGTTCGCACCCCGGTCCGGGAAGATCCCACATGCCGCGGGGCGGCTGGGCCCGTGAGCCACGGCCGCTGAGCCTGCGTGTCCGGAGCCTGTGCTCCGCAACGGGAGAGGCCACAACAGTGAGAGGCCTGTGTACAGCAAAAAATAAATAAATAAATAAATAAAAATAATAAAGCCCTCCCAATGACTCTTTTAGGTATCGGAAGAATAGGAACCAAGAATAGGAACCAAGGTTAAGTGCCAGGTACAAAGTCACCCTTGTTTACCTTCTGCCTTACATTTACCTTACATTAAACAGAGAGCAAAGTGTCTCCATCTGTGTAGATGAGTCTTAGGATCCAGGAGAATAAAATCATGATCGTAGCTAATATTTATGTAATATTTTCCAGTTTGCAGACAAATGGGTTTTATATCCATTATTTAATTTAATCTTCAAAACTACTGTGAGAGGCATTCTCATCCTCATCCCCATTTTACAGATGAAGAAACCGAGGTTTGGAGATTTCACGTGACCTTGGCCCAAGCTCTGCTGACCCAGGATTGATTGCCTGCCCTGTCCTATTCACTTTTCATTACCCATGCTGCCCAAATAACTCTCCAATCCAAAAATTACTTAATATTTAGCTATTAAATGGCATGTGATTTCCTTTTGGGAGGAAGGAACTTCCTGGTTTTTTTTAATCAGGAAACAGTAAGGTTTGTTTCCATTATGTCCTTTAGTAGCAGAGAGAGGTGACCCAGAAAACAGCAGAACTAATCCACGTTTACTCCACGTTGGATCTGCTTTCCTTAATATAGTTCTGCTCTAACTGGCAATGGGTCAAAGGCATAAAGACGATAAGAATATTTTAAATATGTTTTTATTTGATCCGTTTTACTATTTAAGTTTTATACCCTATCTATTTCTCGTGAGGCAGCTAACTTTTTTAAATTGTGTTCTTTTTTTGTAACCTAGAACTTCATGCTCCTTCTAAGAACCCAGGTGATCTCCTTAGATATGAGCAGTTTAGATTCAATCATCCCTGAGTGGAGGACACTATCACTTTTCCTCTTTTATAAATGAGAAACTAAAATTTGGAGAAGGTAAGTTAGGTGCCAAGGTCCCTTAGTGAGGAAATAGAGTTTGTGGGAATTGAACCTCAAACTTTCTGTCCAAGTACCCTTGCCCTTAATCACCACACTCTACTGCCTCCTTGTGGCTCATCTCAAAACTGAGATACAGCCCAGAGCAGCCGTGCCCAACAGAAATACAATGACAGCCAGAATCTATAATTAAAATTTTTCAGGTAGCCATATTTTAAAACATAAAAAGGTGAAGTTAATATTAATAATATATTTTATTTAACCGCAGTATATTCAAAATATTATCATTTTAACATAATTAATATGAAAATTAATTTTTAAATTGAACATATAAAAATATCAATGTGATAGTGTACATTCTTTTTTACAATTAATATTTGAAATCCAGTGTATGTTTTACACATACAGCATACCTGAGACTAGTCATATTTCAAGTGTTCAGTAGCCACATGTGGTTAGTGGCTGCTATATTGG